CTGTGCTCTACTTACACTGACTCATTCACGTAGTTCTCACAACATACCTATAAGGTAGTTCCTATTATTTTCACTATTTTGCAGATGAGGAAACCAAAACACACAGAGACGTGAAATAATTTCTTTTAAATGATGCACTGTCTTCTTAAGCCAATGGGTCTTTAATCCAGGCCATCTGAATTAAGCCTATGTTCTGCTTCAGGAAAAAAGTATCAAAAGTGTTGCCATGGCTAACAATGCTCGGTGTAGCATTGGTTCCAGAAAGTTCCATCCCTTAAGGTCTCTTTTTTATTGTGGGAGTTACACTATTGCCCCAACAGAAGTTGATGGAAAAAAAAAAAAAAAAGAAAGAAAACCTTTTAATGTCATTATAAATGCACATGACAGGATATCAATTCTATGAAATAACCTGGAGTGATTATAAAGAGGTCACTTGCTTGTGTGGCATTGTCGGTTTCTGACCTCTAGCACAAGAGGGGCAGGGGAAAAGGAAGCTGATGAAAGGAGAGGATGATGCCATCTTTTCAGCTTGCCAGTCATGACCAGTTTTGAGGAAGGACTGTCCCTGTTGGTGACACTGGAGGAAAATGTCTACTTCTATGCTTTTCCATTCACCTAATGATTGGAACATGATTATGTATAGGTATTGAAAAACAAAACCTACATTTTATCTACCCTATTAGCATTTGGTAAGTGGCTAATTGCAATACTGTTCTATGTATATATGTGAAAAGTTACGGTGATATTCTTAGGAAATTAAAAGCTAGATAGCTGAAACCGTTTCCCAGTAGCACAGGCCTCAACGGTTAAAAGACTAATTCCCGTGGGCTGAAGGGGCTGCCCCCTCCCACTCATCTATCAGAGTAGGGAAATTATACTCAGCAGTGCCTCATTGGATACTCTAGATAAATAATCTCATTAATAATATACCACGAAGTCGATAGCTGTTATTGAAATAAGGTCAAAAGGCTAAAATAGATAAGAAGGACGGAGTCACCTGGAAATAATCTTTCAGACTCGTTTTTTTCATAATATATATCAATAAAGGCAGCCTGAGTGTCTACATACTCAACTCTAGAAAGAAGCCAAGTTTCACTATCTTTTAAAAACACATTCACCTCCATATTATTGTATCCTTAAGTAAATCTCTCAGGCATGGAGGGCATACGTTAACCTGATTAAGAAGAGACGGAATATTATATAACACAGGGAGTTTGACCACTTAGGTACACTGTTCCTTATTAGCTAGGTGGCAAGTTACTGAAAGGTCTAAGCCTCAGTTAACTTATCTGTAAAATGGGAATAATATTAGTAACCGCCCCCCCGCCCCTCCCTTAGAGTGTTTTGAGGTTATGTGGAATACTTTAACAAGGAAAGCACTATAAGAGTATAAGAGTAATGCCTACCACATGGGAAGCAACTAAAAAAAAAGTTGGAATCACTTGGATAAGCAAACTGTTAGTTGGTTATGAGTTTGGAGAAATGAACTATCCTGACTTCTACTGATAGATTTACTTTTTTTGGTTTGTCTGTTTCCATGTAATCCCATCTAGCCTGACTTTTTTTTTTTTTAAAGATTTTATTTATTTATTTGACAGACAGATCAACTTGAGAGATCACAAGTAGGCAGAGAGGCAAGCAGAGAGAGAAAGAACGGGGGTGGGGGGGGAGCAGGCTCCCTGCTCAGCAGAGAGCCTGATGCGGAGCTTGATCCCAGGACCCCAGAGATCATGACCTGAACCAAAGGCCGAGGCTTAACCCATCGAGCCACCCAGGCACCCCTAGCCTGACTTTTGATAACTAGTGGAGCTCTATACACTCTCTCACTTCAATCTGAGGCTGAATTAATTCCTCCCTGACATGACTTCTTTCCAGCTCTCTTCCAATTTTATCAGGGGCTTATTTATCGATTTGTCTAAGCAGGCTTGAGTTTATTTCAGTCTTAAGACTATGCTATTCTCTACTCTGTGCCCCCATCTCCCAACATATGCAGAACAGCATGCTATGGTGGGATGTGTGGAATTTGGGGAAAAGTGTTACTCTACCATCACAGTCCCAAGACACTTATTAATTTTCCCCCCAAGGATCTGAATATAAAGGCACAGAAGTGTAACATTATTATCTTACTAAACATCCCCCCCCACAGAGATCAAGTTATTTGGAGATGGTACCAATGAGAAAAAAGTTAAATGTTCTATTACATATTGAAAAAATTTCCTGTTGAATTTCATAAAAGGGAAGGCAGTATTCCAGCCAGGAAGTATTGGATTTGTATTAGATTCCTATTACAACTCTTAAATGGGAAGGAAAAGTAATTTACCCATCTTTGGAGTTTTGAGGCTTTGATATGGGTTTGGGGGAAAGACCTGGTCTAGGAGTTGAAAAACCTGAGTTTAGTTATTGCTTTGTAATTAACTAATTGAGTAAGTTGGATTAGACATTTAACTCCTTTGGACCTCAACTCTCATATGCTTAAAATGAGGAAGATGGATTTTCCCAAGGCTCCTCTCAGATCTAAAATTTCACATTACAGTCAACATTCAGTTCACTCTAAGGAACAATTAAGTTGTGTCTACTATTTGAAAGCACTATACTTGATGTTAAGGACATAAAGCTAAATATAAGAAAATTCCTGCCCTCAAAGGTTTATAGTCTTGTGGATTATTAAAATGATGGGGTGATATCTGCAGAGTATTATGTAATCACTCAATTACACCTATTTTACTATTCATACATGTGGGGCCCTGAGTTTTAGCAGACTAAGAATAAGCTTAGCCCCTCGATCTTCAGGCTGTAGTTCACCTACCAAAAAGATGTTTTAAATTACTCTCTAAGTCTATTTTTCATTTGAAAATAACCATAGTGACCTCACTGAAAGTGATGCTGAGAAATAACAAAGGTTAAATATTCTATATATTTTTGTGGACACCACGAGCCAGTAAAGAGCTGGGTGCTACGGGCAAAGAAGCGGGCAGGTCGCTCATGTAACTTACCCATTACATACATTATCACCAAGTTTGCAGCAAATAAATCAATATAGTAAATGGCTACCTAAAACAAATTAATTGTGAGCTTATTTTAATTTGGAGGTGTGAAGAAGCAAACCCATTTCTGTGCAAAACAACAGTTGTGTCTCGGCCCTTAAAGTACCGTGATCAATAAAAACATACGTTTTATATATATAAAATTTTATGATTTAAGTTCTACAGAATTTATTACTTCCTAGATAATGAAAAGGTTGCAAACATAAACGGGATAAAGTGCAGGAGCAGCTTTTCCATTTTGAGTAAGGAGGGACTTTCTTAGAGTTAGATCTACCCAACAAGGAATGGCCTCTTTCAGAGTTTAGAAGTACTTACCATCTCTGCAAGGCCCAGCTGACCAACCTGTCATTGTTAAAGTTCACCAATATGGATGAGAATCTTGAGAAGAAACCTACAGTGGATAAATTCAGGTCAATTCTGAGATTCTATGATTAGGTGAAGTGATTCATAAATATTCAAATGATAGAAGTATGATAGATATACAATTACAAGGATGCAATTTACCCATGAGACATTAGGGATTAAGAGGGACGAAGTATACAACAACAGGAGTGGTGTGGGACAGAGGAACTGGTTTGATCCAGTTCTTTAAAAATACCTTGGTTATGGTGTGACATTTATCCCGATTTGAAACCTAAATTTCAGAACCCTGAAACTCGAAAGCATTGGCTGAAGAAATCGAAAACCAAAATGACTAATGTTTTGTTACCAATTGTATGTGATGTAATCCTATTCCTTGATTATATAATGCTCTGGCTGTAGGTTAGGGTAGGGCCTTGGGATACAGATAAGTGGTGTATGTATCCTGTGATTGGGGTGGGAGGGGGCTATCCTTCCTAAATATCTCAAAATATCATTCTGCTACACTATGGTTAAGTGTGATGAGATGGTTGGGAAGCGTTGAAAAAAGTGGTTGCAACTTATGAAAATGGTGCGAATTCTTGACTTAGGAAGCTCAATGGTCCGACGAATTTACTTACATTAACACCTTCTTTTGCCAAGTAACAGCCAAATGAGGCCCTCTCAGAGTCAGTGAGTTAGATTCAGGCTAGGTGTCCTTGAGGGCTCAGCACCTACCTTCTGGACTTGCCAGTGTGCCGGACGGAAGCTCAGAGCGTGGCCCTAATTTCCTGTATGCGGTGTGGGGCGTATACAGATGTGTGCATGACGGACAATGCCTGTAGCATTCGAAGCCTTTAGAAAAGCTTACGTGACCAAGGGGGAAGAAGTGTGATTTCGAGATGTGCATCTCGAAAACGGGGAGCGGGCAGATTGTTGTAATTGTTGTACAAGAATTGGGAATTTATTCCTCACCCGAGGGTTTGCTGGAAGTGAGGACGGGGCGATTCTTTACCCAGTTTCCAGCAGTAGGAAACACCTCGCAAGAGAAGTCCCAGTCCAAGTTCCGCGCGGACGGGGCTCCTGCTGAGAACGGCTCGGAGGCGTGCGAGACAAGTGGGGAATCCCAGTAGGGGGGGACTCCCCTACTCCTTGTACGGGACACGAGCTGCCCCAACTGCGCTTTCCCTCCTCTGCTCTTCGCGGAACACCACGCGTGCTTTGTTTCAGAGCCGACGCATCTTTCTCGGTTGGTCTGCAGCTCCACCAATCCCGCCCGTGACGGGGCGGGGCTTCAGGGTCAAGGTGGACCAATTCCCCAGCCTCGCCCCTACACGCGCTTTCGGACCCCCGGGGATGAGTGACAGCAGCTGGGTCCAACCTGCTGCTCCAGACCGTGGCCCCCGCCAGGGGCGTTACGGGGACGAGGCGCCGGGGCCAATCGCATTGGAGCCCAAGGGGCGTGGCCTCATTGCCAGCTCTAGACCGGCGCCCCCCGCACTCCTTTTGTCAAATGAGAGACGCGGAGGGGCGGTCCCGCAGCCGAGGTTCAGCCAATGCTTGGAGCCGAGGTGGGCGGGCCGGGTGTGCTGGCGGCTGGTCCTCAGCTCCGAGCCGAGGTGCGGCGAGCCGGTGGGGGGACCGCGAGGCGAGCGCGGGAGCCTGGGCGGAGAGTGGGGTGTGAGCTGCCCGAAAATGCACTCGGATGCCGCCGCTGTCAGTGAGTAACAGAGAGCGAGCGGGCCGGGGCCGGGCGGTTGCCAACACTCTCCACTCCGCTCCCGCAGTCCCCGCCCCGCGCCTCCTGTCCCGAAACGCGCCGGGAGCCCCTGCCCGGGAGCCACCCCTTCCCCTCCCGGGGCCGCGGCGGGCGGTGACGCTGCGGTCGGCGCGGGGCGGGGGCGGGCGTGTGGGGGGGGAAGGGGCCGGCCTGCCGGGGGAGGGCGGAGGTGAGGGGGGTGGGGACTGGCTCCTTTTCAGTGTTGGGGGCAGGGGGGGCGGGACGTGCGATGAAGGGCTGGGACCGGAGTGCCTGGGGTGAATGGAGGTGGAGGCGGCGGCGGGCGCTAGCGGGCAGGGCCGGGGGTGGCACCGGCGCGGGAAGAGAGAGCGAGGGAGCGAGCGAGCGGGGCGCAGGGGTGAGGATTTCCTAGGGGCTGAGCGGTGCGGGCGGCTCCGTGAGAAAGGCGGGTGAGTGCGAGGGGAGCGCGGGGGCGGGGACAATGGGAAGAAGGGCTGGATGGCGGGGGTGGGGGGGAACAATGCGGTGGGGGAATGGGGGTAGCGGCCGAGCGGGGCAGGAGGGCGGGCACGGAGATGAGGGCTGATGTAACGGGAGAGCGAGGTGGTGGGAGGGATTGGGGTGTGATGGGATAGTTGGGGAGTCCGCTGGGCTGGAGAGGCATAGAAGGGTGGTGGGGTAACTGGGAGTGGTGAGAGGGGGCAGACGTTGGGGTAATAGGATTGAGCAGGTGTTGGGAAGAGAGGGTAATTGGGAGTGAGAGGAGAGGGAAGAGGGGAGGGTTTGGGGTGACAGGATGGGGGCAGGGGTAGAGGAGGTGCGGTGGGGGTGTAGAGCTAGTTGGGAGGAAAGGGGGGTTGGGAGGGGCCAGGGCAGGGGGAGGACTGTCAAGTCCAGATTCGGTCCGTGCGGGGCTCGGGGTGGGGGGGAGGTGTCAGACTATGTTTTCTGGGAGGGGATCCCTCCCCCCGATCAAGACAGAGTCCGTGGAAGGGGGAGCCCTGAGCTTCGGGTGTGGGGAGTGGAGGGGGCGGGGCTGAGGTGGAGGGGGCGGGGAGGTGCCCTGAGGTTGGCGCTGGCCGCGGTTCCCCCAGAGCGGCGGGAAGCGAGGTCAGCGCTGGCGCGGGCTCCGGCTGCGGGACTGGGAGGCGGGGCCGGGGCGCGGGCTGCGGGTTTTCCGTGGTGGGATCCGGAGGGGTCGGGCCTTGGAGACCGGGTGGGGGGTTTTGCGCAGGGGAGGTGTTGGGGTCCCAGGCAGTCCGTGGGATTGGCAGTCTGTGACGCAGTTGTCTAATTTCTGGTCGTCAGGTGTGGACTCTGGTGCCTGGGGACCCGCTTCCCTGCAGGGAGGGCCGGGCCAGAGGCCCCACGTAGCGCTCGCGGGGCGCGACCTCTGACAAGCTTGCGGGGAGGACGCTTTAGGGGTTTCCTTTAGGGTCTGGCTCCAGTGGCCGGGTGTGAAGGGGAAAGGCGGTCGCGCGGAATTCTGGGACGTGTAGTCCGCGCCGCGCGGAGTCGCGGTTGGGTTGGGTGCACGTGGGTAACTGTGGAAACGAGTCCCAGAATGCAGCGCGCCCCTCGGAGCCTCCCGGCGCTGCTAACTCGTGGTTTATTCCCGGAGGACCCGAGCGAGCCCTTGGGAGCCTCTCTCGTCCCCTGGGACTGGAGCGATTCACTGGACCTTCTCCCTGAGTCGGCGGGAGGGGGAGAACCAAGCCAAACGCAGTCCTTTCACACTTGGGTTCTTGATTCCCGAGTTGATTACTTCCCCCTGCGTTTAGTGGCCTTATAGCACATAGGTTTGGAGAAACATTCAGGGTGCAGCACCGTCCAAAGCAGAGTTTAGGATGCTGTATTTATTGTGGCATCCAGCGTTAAACAGAAGGTTAAAAGGTTTCGTCTTTAGGTAAATCTGGGAATGCAGTGGAGACCCCTGGAACCCTTCTGACGATAATATAGATTATGTGTTTGCATTTCCTGGGCTCTTTGAACTGCCCAAAGATAGGACTTCCTGAAAGAAGATGGCCTTGAAATGAATTGAGTAATTGAAGGTGGCTTAGTGGAATTTAGGGTGGAACTGTGCCCTTTCATAAACCCCGCATAAAGCTGAGCAAAGGGAATATAAGATGTCTTCAATTTTAAAGGGAAGGTGGGAAACAAATGAGGCTAGCAGAAGGTAAACTCAGTGGACGACCTTAAGAGGTTTTTGTGTTTTTTTTTTTTTTTTTTTTTTTTTTTAAGTTGAGGGTGTAATTCTTTTCTCTTGGCCTCTTTAATATTAGAGACCTTCCTCTCTGTAGATGCCCCAGACGGGACATCCTTTGCCAGTTCCTATTACAATTTATTTATATGCTGAATTACCATTTATATGCTGAATTTGAACATTGCAGAATCTGTCATGTAGAGGGCGATAACATTAGCTCAAAGATGACAGACTATTTTTCTGTGATATATAAGGTATTATGAAACTATTGGTAGCTTAGTCGCTAGAAGAATATTACAATGACCGTAATGATAAAATTTTATCAAAAAGTCCTAAAATTTGGAAACCTTTTAGTGTGGTTACAGATATACTGAACTTGATGAAGTGATTAATGATTAAATCGTGGCCGAAAAATGGGGCAATGTATGGTTTTTTCAGGAAAACATTTCTGTTCATCTTATATTTTACTTAATCTTATGATGAAGTATTCATGAAGCCTGTTGTGATATGTAAGTATGTAATATGGACATGTTTTTTAAAATACGCACTTAATGCTGGAATTTGTTTATATAAAGCATGAAGTGTCCGAGGTTGAAAACTAGTTATAATTGTGTTCAAGATGGTGTTTTAAAGAAAATATTAGGCTAGTAATTTCTTTCTCTTTTTATTTTTGTTACAGCGCAAAGATCAGGTGCCCTTTACACACACACGATCCCCCTCTCCTCCAGTCCCCCAGACCCTAGGTTTTTAAACATGATCAGCTTCTACTTTATGCTGTGGATTTCGGGTTCTTCTTTGATTTTTGGTCTTTGGGGAGGTTCTTTATTTTCATGTGAACTAAGATATGTGTTTAAACATGTTTCTTCTACTTTTCACAGAATTTTTTGTTATTTTATATTGGGAAGGATTTTTTAGGTTATCTTGTTTATAACATTGCCAGAAGAGAAAGTCTCCCTCATTTTCTCCATTTTAGAGGACTTCTGTACATCACTCTTTCCTTCCTTTGGTCCTGCCTCCAAGAAGTGCTCCTGTCAATCAATACTTGATCACGCTTTTTCAAATGTTATTTATCATTACATCCCTTTCTGTTTTTATCTTTAGCTGCCCCCAACAGCTCTTACAGGTTACTGCTTTCTTCTTCTTCTTCTTCTTTTTTTTTTTTAAGATTTTATTTATTTATTTGACAGAGAGAGATCACGAGTAGGCAGAGAGGCAGGCAGAGAGAGAGAGGGAAGCAGGCTCCCCGCTGAGCAGAGAGCCCGATGCGGGACTTGATCCCAGGACCCTGAGATCATGACCCGAGCCGAAGGCAGCGGCTTAACCCACTGAGCCACCCAGGCGCCCTACTGCTTTCTTCTTGACTGCAATATGTGTTTGTAATACATGTTTGCATTTTCTCATCTCAAGAATAATGATCTTGTTAACTCAGCAGAATAAAAATCAGCCTGTCAGAAACTGACCTCATGATTTGACCAGTGTTGTATCCGTCATTGGGAAGTAACAATACACTGCAAAAAATGGCATAGATAACAGAATTTAGTATTGTCCAGTAGCAAGAAGTGTAGAAAATAGTTGGTTGTAACGGTGGTGCAGTGTCTGAATGATGTTTTTGAAGACTCTAGTCTCTTTGCATCCTTTTCTTCCTCTATTTTTAGTATTTTGGCTTATGGAAAGCCTCGGGCTCATTGCTTCACGTTGGCAATGTGGTTGCTGTGGCCCCAGACATCATGCCTGTGTGAGACAGGGAAGGAAGGATGGAAGATGTTTTCTTATAACGCCCTCTTAGCAGAGAGGAGTCTTCTAGAAGGTCACCTTGGAGACTTCCCATTCACTTTTGTTGGGGAGAACTGATTTCATGGCACTGCTACTTGTAAGGAAGTTTGAAAAACTGGAAGTCTGGCATTTTTCAGTTTCTGTTGGGAGATGTGGCCTTCGCTAGAGTGGTAGAGCAGTGAGGAGAACACTCTGGGTTGGCAGCCTACTGGTTATATCCCTGATCCAGCTACTTTGTCCAGCTATCTCTGGCTTGGTCTCAATCTTTTTTTAATATGCTGATTTATTTTCTGCTTCATTTAAAAATAATTAAAGGTGACTTACTAAGTATAGATAAAAGCCTGGGAAGAGAAGGAAATTAGGGGCGCCAGGGTGGCTCAGTCAGATAAGCGTCCGACTCTTAATCTCAGCTCAGGTCATGATCTGGGTGTTGTGCGATTGATCCCAGGGTCAGACTCCACACTCAGTATGGGGTCTCCTTGGAATTCTCTTTCTCCCTCTTTGCCTCTCTTGTCTCTCTCTCATAAGTAAATTTAAAAAACAGAAGGAAAATAAACCATAGATTTACAGGCTGCACATAATTGCTTGCCATATGTTAGAAATAAGTCATATATTTGGCTCTGAGCTTCCTAGTAGTCAAAACAAAGAGGAAAACAAGACTAATTTCATTCATTCGCAATTCATTTAATAACTGAAGCTGGAAACTAAGTCATTCCTCATCCTCTCGTTTTCCTGGCTGGTGGTGAGAGCGAGACTGCCTATCCTCCCCCCATGGAACTCTCTCCTACCTGTGGCTGCCGTCCTAGGGCTCACCCATCTTGTTGTTAATCTGCAGTAATCCTTTTGCTAGCCTCAGCCCCTCTCACTTTGTCCTCTGCATCACCAGTTTAATCACCTTTGTCCTTAGGATTGCCCCACACAAAACCTCAAGGGCTCCTGTTTGCTTAATGAAATGCAGACTCCTTGGAACCTGGAGGTGAATTGGTTTGTGCAGTTTAAGCTC